ATTTTTATTTCTTCTATTTTAGATAAAAAGGTACTAACACTTGAATCAAACTGCAGTGAGAAGAAACGTTCTTGTAAAAAGGTGTACACTCACCACTGATTCCTTGTCATATACTGTTTTAGTTTACTCCACATTTCTTTGGACATTTCACAAGACAGTACATGCGTTAATGGTCCTTCTTCCATTCTTGTTACCAGTAATTCTTGGGCCTTTGCATCTTCTTTCATCCACTTATTTATTTCTTCAACTCCTGTGGTTGGTTTTACTTTGATCCATCCACTACTTCAAATAAACTACGACCTTTTAGTACGATTTGTTTGAAATTTCCAGACTGGCCAGTTATCTCCATTTAGTTTTAATGCAGCGTTATGTTCAGACATTTTTTCGGTTTTACTGTTTTTACTTTTAATGTTTTTACTCTTAACACTCCGATACACTTTCCCGAAATTTTACTTGTCGTTTTGTCCTTGCCGTTTTTACTGCGAGACCTTGGTTTTCTATTCTGTGTCTGGGCTGTGATCTGGGCACATAACCTGTTGTTTTGAGGTCCGTGAATTTACTTTTTAATTAAACCAGGTCTTTTTACTCTTCACGAGTTTTATTTCTGTTAACAATTACAAGAACAAAAACTAAAACGAACAAACTGAACATGCTGCCGCCATATTCTTCTTACTCTCTTTTTTATGTTACTTGGAACCTTATAAAAACAAACTTACTAACCTATTCTTAGTGCTACCAACCGTAAATACATGGGTTATGTTAATTTACCATTGCCCCAATAGATGGCGTATACAACACATTAACTATGGGATCCACATTAAAAATTAAAAAAACCACGATTTCGTGGGGACCTATTCTGCACAAGACCCGGTTGGTTGTTTTTTTTTTTTACGTAGAACACAGTGGCGTAACTAGTTTTTCGCTGTGTGCTGTCGTTTTCAAAATATGACTTGAACTTATGATTTTTTCAAGTGCAATTTTTTTACGCGCGCTGGGAGTAAAAATTCAAGGCCGTGACACACAAGCTAGCGAGACGAAAATTGGAAATGACAGCCTACGGCTTAGAAATGTAATGACGCGACGTGTTTTGGTGAGCAGTCCACGTGTTTATTAAAAATATTGATATTTTAATACAAATTTTGAGAAAGTGAAATAAATTATTTATTATTTTTTTTATTTTACACGTATAAAACTATTTGTTACACGTAAAACACTATTTTTTAAGCGGAAAAACTACTTCTTTAATTTATTACTTTTTCGACATTTCAAACTACCCTTTTTCAAACATATACTTCAACCTCCAAACCAAAATTTGACGTCGGATAAATTATTCCGCATATGTTAAAAAGTTAAATAACGCATTTTTCACCATAGTATATTTTTAGAAAGCTCATAAAATGGTAAATACATAAAAAGTAATATACTTACAGGGTATTCCATTTTAAAAAAAAGAACTTTGAGTCATATTTCAAGAATGACAGCTGCCAGCGAAAATCTAGTTACGGCACTGAATTCCATGTAAAAAACACTATGGGACTCGGTTTTCACATTTTTGATAGTTATAAGATAACCGAGATACGAGGACGGTCAAATAATGCAAAATTTTCAGATTCGCCCTGTATTTCAGAAACCAATGGGGCTAGGACAAATCTGTGTGTAGCATTTTTAGTTTCATAAAAAAAAGTAGCTCTGTGATGTGAAAACCGCATCTTTGGATCTCTACTAAACGAGATACCCTGTAAAACACACGAAAATGGGACACCCTGTACAGCGCCAATAATAAAAATTTATGAAAAAACAGTTAAATAGAATAGTTTTTGGGAATGTCAAGTTAACACAATTAAAAATAAATTTGTATACGGAGTGTTTGAAAATACACACACAATATTCAAAATGTATTCTTCCTTTCTTTATATTTCTGATTATTTTGAAAACTGTGTGTTAAAAATCGTCTTTCCCATATTTTTATACTTTTACATTAATGAATGTTGGTATACTTAGGTATACTTTTTTACAAAGTTCACTACTGGAAAACAGCTTTTTTCGCTACCTTACAAGATAAAAATAAAAAAATATATATTTATTTTTTATATTTTCTGTCGAAGTAGTAAGTAATTATGTGTGTATGTATTTTTGTGAAAGCAAGTTGAGATACGCCACTGTTATTCGAAATATTATGTCAGACGAGTTCGATTCCACTAATTTTAAAGGCCATCGTAATTATTGCATAATTAGTCTGAATATTAAATTATGATTAGCAAATAATGATAAGGGAATATTCTACTGTGATTTTAAAGAATAACCAATAAACATGAATCTCTGATTCCCTGAAGGTTCTTTGTGAATTTAACCTAATAAATTCCCATTTTATTTCTTCAACATATTTTGTAATTAAATTTCACACTTTATTAAAATATTTTTCATTTTCATGTGACTCAAAAAGGGCATAATAGGCTATTCTAGAGGTTGATAAATTAAGTTCCTTAGAAACTGATCTTGGCGCAAAACAGGCAGCGCTTAGTTTCTTTGATAAAATTTCGAAGTGCAAGTTCCACTTAACGAGTTGTCTACAAGTCCTAAGAATTTCACAGAGTCCACGACGTCAATAGTGGTGTTATTTTAAGTACAAAAGGTTGTATAGTACTTTTATATAACAAAACTTTAGTTTTTGATAGGTTGAGGCATAGTGTACAGGTTCGATAAGAAAGGATTTTTCGAAATTCCAGTTCTAAGGGGGTGAAACCACCCCTCAAATATTACAATATTTTTTATTTAAAAAACGGTCAAGTTTCCGAAAAAACGCTTAAACACGTATATTTTACTTTGTTTTTTTTACATATTTTAAGATTTTTTTAAAAATGTATACAGCTTAAAGCGCTTGACGTAAAAAGTTGATTTTTGGAAAACGGATTGATTTTAGGGTGTAGAGTCAGGGGCTTGGAACACCCTCAAAAAGGAAATACCACTCCTGCAACTCCCAGTGGACGATATGCCAAGAACGTACAACTTTGACAAACATGTCAATGTAGTATTGAGCAATAAGAAGGATTGGAAGAGCGAAACGCTTGCCCAGCAGTTAAAAGACCATACCATAACTTGTATACTGATGCTTCCAAAACCAATACGGAAACAGGGATCGGAGTGTTTGGGCCGAGAGCTAATTACTCCGAACCAATGGGCACTTACCCTAGTATCCTACAGGCAGAAATCTACGCTATCGAGAGATGCGTACAACTTATCTTAGATAGGAACTATCGGAAACAAGAAATAGCCATCTTATCTGATAGTCAAGCAGCGTTAAAGGCGATCAACTCAGTATCAATCAATTCGAAATTGCTCAAAGAATGCATTGAGAAGCTGAATAAATTAGGCAAAGAAAACAAAGTCCTCCTACACTGGGTGCCTGCTCACCAAGGGATAGAAGGCAATGAAAAGCAAATAATCTAGCTAGGAAAGGAGCGAACACTCCACTAACTGGACCAGAACCGTTCTGCTTTCCAAGTGGTAACCAACTCAGGGCGGAACTCAAGAACTTGGAAGATTCCATCCGCAACCTGGAATGGAAATCTTGCAATGGTCTAAGACACTCGAAGAAGTTTCTGAGGGCTTATGATCAAGAATAATCACAGATCTTCCTGGGTCTGAGTAAGAACAATCTTCGGATTGTCACGGGGTTTTTAACAGGACACTGTCTCCTCAATGAACACCTCAGTAGATTGAAACTAAGAAGAAACGGCGAATGCAGATTCTGTGGGGAAGATGGGGAAACACCAGTACACCTCATCACTGAGTGCGCCGAGACGACAACCATTCGTGCCATGAATTTTGGTACGACTGATATTGGAGATGGAGAACTACCCTCTATAAAACCGTCCCAGATACTGGCTTTTGTCAAAGCCCTGGGACTGTATGATGAGTTATGATTCAAGAAAGGGGGACACAATGGATCTGTAAGGTCGAAGTGATTAACCCCCCTCCCACTCATTCTAAATTCTAATTAGGGTGTAGAGGTTCAATAAGAAGGGATTTTTCGAAACTCGATTTTTAAGGGGATGAAACCATCCCTCAAATATTACAATATTTTTTATTTAAAAACCGGTGAGTTTTTCGGAAAAAGTCTTAAACATATACTATATTTTATTTTGTTGTTTACATATTATAAGATTTTTTAAAAATTTATGCAGGGTGTTTCATAAAATATGACCATTGAGTAATCACGATTCTGCTTAAACTGCTTGACGTTTAAAGCTGATTTTTGGCAAACGGATTGACTGTGGGGTGTAGAGGTTCGATAAGGGGGGGTTTCTCGAATCTCAAATTCCAAGAGGGTGAAAACGTCCCTCAAATAATACAATATTTGTTATTTGAAAAACGGTTAGTCTTTCGGGAAAACGCTTGGACACGTTGAGTAATTGATTAACCACGACGATTCTTCTTAAACTGCTTGACGTAAAAAGCTTATTTTTGGCAAACGGATTTTTCAAAAGTCAAATTCCATCGAGATGAAACTACCCCTCAAATATTACCAAGTTATATAATAATATCGCCATAGTGTTTTTTCTCATGCTGACATAAATGTGAAAATTTTTTATCCAGTTTGTATGTTAATGGAAGTTCTTGCTTTGCTTTATCATCACCATTACAAAAGATTAATTCGACGCGAACGAAGTCGCGGGTACACGCTAGTAGTATTATCAATATAGTGGCGTAACATCTGGGCCGCTTCAAGTGAAACTAGTGAAACTTTTGAACTTTTTGAAACACCCTGTATACTTTATATTACTTCGTGAAATTTAAGTGTTAAAAGTTAAAAGAACTTTTATTGTAGAATATTAATTTTCCATTCCGAATATTAATTTTCCAGTAAAACCATTATCTAACAACAAAATAATGGCCTCTAAACTAAACAATAATCAAAACCTGGTCTGACATAATTTTGCCGGCACCAGTGACGTACCACAAACGTTTCGTTACGATAAATAAACGAGAACTTTCCCTTTTTTCGCTCAATTCGTCGAAACCGTGACGAAAGACGGCGACGACCGCAACTTTTACTTTCTTCGCCGCCTCGCAAATCGGACAACAATCGTCATTAAACGGCCAGAAGACGCATAGAACACTCAACTGCATCAGTCTTTAGTTTGGTAGTCAAGATGCGTTTGGCCGGTGCTATTGTATTTCTTGGTGTCATCGTAGCTCTGGCTTGGGGCCAGGAGAGTCCCTACACTACTAAGTACGATAACGTGGATGTGGATAAGATTTTGAAGAACGACAGGGTGCTGTCAAATTATATAAAATGTCTGATGGAAGAAGGGCCATGTACGCCTGAAGGAAGAGAATTGAAAAGTGAGTAGTACAGTGTTTTTTAGAATTTTCTTTTGTCTCGTTTTAATTTTTCATTTAGGTTTTTTATTAAAATAATCAAATTACAGACCGGGTATTTCTCAAAAGTGGTTCACCCCTATAACTACACACACCGGAAAAGTCTAGGGATATTACAATTTTATCCAGCCATCGTCAGTAATTTTATTATTTACATTTCTGATATAATAAAATTAAAATAAAGAAATAGTTTACAGACGTATTGGAAATAAAATTGCGAAATTTACCGAATTTTTCAAATTTACCTTGATTTTTATTGAACTCAAAAAAAATACACACATTTTTTTTTATTCTAAACTGTCAATTAAAAAAAATATTAACTTAATAAAGGGTATGGCCTCCTCTACTGTTTATTACAGCCCTACATCGTCTCTCCATGCTCCTGATCAGGTTGTCGATCTCTTCTTGAGGTACAGCGTGCCACGCTGCATTCACGGCCCGAACCAGATCCCTACGAGTTTCACGAGGCATACCCATTCTCAAAATTCTTCTTTGGACCGCGTCCCATACGTGCTCGATGGGGTTGAGGGCAGGAGATTGTGCCGGCCAGGGTAAGATGTTTAATTGATGAGCATTGATAAACTGACTTACCACTCTGGCTGTATGAGGCCGTGAATTGTCATGCATGAGAACGAAGTTTCTCCCAAAATTATTGGCATATGGTAACACGATAGGCTCAAGAATTAAATCACGATATGTGATTCCTGTTAGAAACCTTTCAAGAAAAACGAGATCGGTTTTTCGGCCTAACTGGACTCCTCCTCAGACCATAACTATTCCACCTTGATAATGGTGCACTTCCTGAACATGATCCAACAGAATAAGATTTTCCGGTTCTCCCCATACCCTAAGCTTCCTCGAATCCGGATGAATTCCAAAGCGTGACTCATCCGTGAAGAGAACATTGGCCCATTGTTCATTCGACCACTGAACATGATCTTGAGCCCACAAATATCGTACCTCTCGATTTCCTCTCGTTAAGGGTTGAGCTCTCCAGGGGCGTCTGCTTCTTAAGTTGACCTCTCTTAATCTATTGCGAACAGTGTCAGGACTAACGGTTACATTATGTGTTTCCTGGAGAATTAAACTAAGCTCTGGTGCTGTAAGAGTCGCTCCGCGTCGAGCATTTAATTGTAAAAAATGATCTAGCTGAGGGGTAGTAATGCGATGTCGCCCTGTGTGCCTTTCAGCAACATCACCACTTTCACGGTAGCGTGCACTTAATCGCGATATTACACTTTGCGTGGTATTTAATGCTCTAGCTACGTCGATTTGGCGCATTCCAGCTTCGAGCATACCCATGGCCCTTAGCATTTCGTCTCTGTTAAGATGTCTACGCTCCATAATGTCGTTTAATACTAAACAGAGTTATTTGAATGAATTCTGGCCAGTTATCATAAAAACATAGCCATCAGTACAGGTTAAATTCGAACAACTGATGCTAGGTGCTTTTTATACATTTGACAAAAAATGCACAAACACTTCACGAATATCCCAAATTTAGAAATAACTAGTGTGACTATTTCGTTTCAATCGAAGTAGAAAGAATCGGCCTACAAATGTGTTGTTGTTTATTCAAAACATTTATTTTTAACTTTAATAAAATTATATCCCTAGATTTTTCCAGTGTGTGTATTTTATTTTTTCAGATAATAGTTATTTTTTTATACAAGACGATAATGCAATTTTATGGTCGTGTATAAAATAATATTTTTTTCCATAGCGAGTTACGTTTTAAAAAATATTCAGAAATTATTATTTCAAGGAATTTATTAGAAAAATGTGCTGGGTTGGCGTTGCTTTCTATGTAATTTGACAAATAAATAAAGCTGTCTCTTTAATTGTCAGTTTTGAGTCAATATTTTTTAATTCTCTTTCGTGTCGATTGCTGATTAAATTGGAGCCAGAAATGGCTCAAAACGAAAGAAGTAAATTACCAACAGATATTCAGGCTGAGGCGACAAACGCCATATCCAAACTACTTCCAATTAAATCCCGAATAACTTATGAAAAGGAATACAAAAATTTTCAAAAATGGAAGCGATTAAAAAACGCGAGAGAAGAAATAAAGTTTTTAACCTATCCCCGCTGGTAAAGTATCATTTAATCTACCTTTGCGGTTAAAGTACTGTTTTATCTACTATTTTTGATATGGCAATTTTAACAGTTTCTATGGAAAAAAAATAATATAACGAGACTTGGTATGTTACAGTATATGAGATAAATTATATAGGATCGATTTTGACGTATTCAATTGTTTTCGGTCACTTCCTGTTTCACCGGGAATGGCTACAACTTTTGGTTTTTAAATGGCACCCTCGGTATTTTTTGCTTTATTCGATAGAAAATTACAATCTGAATAGAATGACATATCATATGTCAACTTTTCACATTCTCGCTTCAAACAATCGTATTTTAAATTTTAGTCTAGAATGCCATGGCTGTATTAAAGAACCTAATTTTTAATTAAGGAGCTTTGGAAAAATAGATTTGATCGTCTAATGTTTTTCGTATATTTTCCTGGCCGCTTGAAAGATGACCGAATGGTATTTTTAATCATGGCTCAATTTTTCAAATGGAACGGGGGTGGCTCATTAGCATATTTAAAAAAAATCATTTTTTACGAATAATTTGGTACCACATATTCGAGTCAAACTGTTGTTATATTTTATTTAATTTTTTCTTGGCTTTAGGTCAGGTAAACAATGAGAAAAACGGTTTTTTTATATTAAAAATTTCATTGACGTTTCGACCTGGTAGGGTCTTTATCAAAATTTATTACTTGAACGTAGATTTCGGCCGTTTTGTTTTAGTTTTTATTTTAATTTTTATTGTTTTCTTTTTACAATTTTATCTTTTTCATTCTGAAATCTTAGCGAAGAAAATAATCCAATATCTGTTTACCTGACCTAAAGCCAAGAAAAAATTAAATAAAATATATATTGAGAGGTCAAAGAAAAGAATAATAAAAAAAAACTGTTGTTATATATAGGTTGGTATATTTTGACCCCAGAAAGAGGATTATGAGGTTTTTTCGCAAAAAATTTAAAATTTGGAATTTTATGAAAAATTTTTCAAAAATTGTTTTAGCTTTAGTTAAAAAAACATAATTTTTTGATAATGTAACAACAATAATAGATTAAATTTACAAGAACGAAAACCCAGAAAGATCTAGTGGTTCTCAAAATTTAAGCAAAAAAGCATTTTTTTTTGGAAATTTTCGAAGTAAAATAACTCGTACTACCATTTTATGGAAAGCACTGTTCATTAAAATGCTGTATCCTATGTTATAGGGCTTGTTTCTTTCTACAATTTCCTGTCTCATAATGTACCGTTTGTGTCCGGCAAGGGTTCATACTTTCATAGTTGTCGATTTTCGAAAGAAATCAGTATATGTATATTATTTCGTATATTTTTCATTTTATTGATCTTATGGAAAGCACTGTTGATTAAAATGTTGTATCCTATGTTATAGGGCTTGTTTGTCTCTACAATTTCCTGTCTCACAAGGTATCGTTTGTGTCCGGGAAGGGTTCATAGTTTCATAGTTGTCGATTTTCGAAAGAAATCAGCACATATGCATATTATTTCGTATATTTTTCATTTTATTGATTTTATGGAAAGCACTGCTCATTAAAACGTTGTATCCATGTATATTTTCATGTTATAGGGCTTGTTTCTCAACAATTTCCTGTCTCACAATGTACCGTTTGTGTCCGGCAAGGGTTCATAGTTTCATGGTTGTCGATTTTCGAAAGAATTCAGTAAATGCATATTATTTCATATATTTTTCATTTTATTGATTTTATGGAAAGCACTGTTCATTAAAATGTTGTATCGCCTATGTTATAGGGCTTGTTTCCCTCTACAATTTCCTGTCTCACAATGTACCGTTTGTGTTCGGGAAGGGTTCATAGTTGTCGATTTTCGAGAAAAATCAGTACATCTATATTATTTCGTATATTTTTTATTTTATTGATTTTATGGAAAGCAGTGTTCATTAAAATGTTGTACCCTGTGTTATAGGGCTTCTTTCCCTCTACAATTTCCTGTCTCACAATGTACCGTTTGTGTCCGGGAAGGGTTCATAGTTTCATAGTTGTCGATTTTCGAAAGAAATCAGTACATCTATATTGTTTCGTATATTTTTCATTTTATTGATTTTATGGAAAGCACTGTTCATTAAAATATTGTATCCTATGTTATAGAGCTTGTTTCTTTCTCTTGTAAAATTTTAGACTTATTTGTAAAACAGAAAGAGAAAATATGTTTATTTTATCGAGAATATACAAACCCTGAAAATATTTGCACTTATTTAAGACTCACCCTGTATATTGTCGTGGCGCTAGATTGAAGTTTAAAATACTATGTTTTAAGAGGAAATGTCAAATGTTGACATATTGTGATACTTATTATTTTATTTAGAATATAATTGTCTATCAAATGAAGTAAAAAAATCAAGTGTGCCATTTAAAAAGTAAAAGTTGTAGTCATTTCCGATGAAACAGGAAGTAACAATTGAATACAGTCAGTCAATCCTAATTTAAATCATATACTTATATACCAAATTTCGTTTTTTTATCTGAAAAAATAAACAAGTTATAGAGGTGAACCGCTTTTGAAAACACTTGTTAAAGATCGCGCACACTATACCTACACGGACCGGCACGGACCAGACCAGTAAAATCTACCGGTGAAGGTGACCGTGTTATTTAATAGAGAAGAGCACACTAGACCAGTACCAGCACGTACCGCCACAAGCCACGACCGTCAAAACAGGTCGTGTCGGTCAGGGACAAATATGACCGGCAATATTTATGCCTGGTCGTGCTGGTCCGACCTAATGTGCGCACCGGCGAACCAGCATACCTCCACAAACATGCAAATATTGAAGGGTTCGTCAGTATTTCGAGTACGCTAGCTGGCTCAAGTCGTATGATGTAGGTTAGATTTCGTTTATTTTTGTTCGAACCTTTAAATCGTTTTAAATATGAATGAAGAAAAGCTTATTTTACTAGTACAAAAGTATCCAGAGCTGTGCGATACGAGCCAAGCATTTTATATATAGAGACCAAGAAAGAAAACATGCAATATGGGAGTCGATAGCAAAAAAAAATAATCAAATTTGATTTGTGACATTCGAAAATATTGGAAAAACTTTTCTTCGAATCTTTTTAATTCAGGAAACAAATGATGAAATTCGCCATATTGCTTTCTCTTTTGATTTATAGGGTGAACCCAAAATCTTCTTTTTTTCTTAGCTTCCTTCTCTTCCTCCTCTTCTTCACACAACATGGCTAAAATAATAATTTCTTCCTCTGAACTACTCATTTTCAATACTTTTATGTTGCACGCTCTAGTAGTTGAGCCTTGACAACTGTACTTTTTTCGAAACTCTCGCTTATGTTGCTGGTCTGTGGCGGTAAAGTGTGCGATGTCATGCAGGATGCAGGTTTGTGCTGTGCTGGTCCGTACTGGTCCGTGTAGGTATAGTGTGCGCGATCTTAGACATTATTTAAAATTACATATAGATTTTTCGTCAAGCCTTCACACATATCAAATATGGCATACACTGTTAAATATCAGATTTATTCATATCCTTAAGTAATTTTTAGCTTAAGCCGAGTACAAATAGCGTTGCGCATTAATGTTTCTTGTTTTTTAATTCTGGCTGCAACTTTTACAACATAAAAATGAATTTAAATTAAATTGGATTGCATCCACAGTTATTTTTTTTGTAATGTCTAAGATTTCCTAACTATACTCTAGACATTAAATTACGAGATGCACTATAACTAGATCTGTAGATAATACATTTTCTGACACATATTTTCCTTTTACGTCAAGTTTTTTTTACTCAATAAGTTTTCTGTCAATTCTATTGCCAACGCTTTGGCAGTATGAAGTACGACCTATTCACTGCCGCCATTTTGAATCAACTAGCAGAAGCCTTTTGATATGAAATGTGTAAATTCGGAATATGGAATATTGAGCAACAAGGACGTGACAGCACTTCATAGGATTATATCAAATGATATCGTATCGATTGTCGTATAAAAACTCGCTGCAGCCTTTTGTACTTAACAACACCACCATTGACGTCGTAAAATCTGTAAAATTCTTAGGGCTTGTTGTAGACATATCGACGCTTTGTCGAAAAAATTAAGCTCTATCTGTTTTGCATTGAGATCTGTTTCTAAGGAGCTTAACTTGTCAGTGGCTAGAACTGTTTATTATGCACTTTTTGAGTCGCATCTCAGATATGCCCTTCCGTTCTGGGGTACGTGTTGTGCGACTCAATTTGACCGCATTTTCAAGCTCCAGAAGAGAGCTGTTCGATATTCACTGGGATTAAACAGCAGAACTCATTGCCAGGACTTTTTTAAAAAAATAAAAATATTAACTCTTCCTTCCTTATTTATAGTTGAATATGTTTGCCTAATACGTAAGCATGTATCAGCTTCTCAAGAAAGGCCATCTCACACTTATCCACTCAGGAACGCGGAACAAGATCTTTATCTACCTACTCCACGCTCAGAGTTAGTTAAAAGTTCAATATTATACAATTCGAAAAAAAATGCACAATCACCTGTCATTTGAAATCAAATCCATAACATCATTTTCTTCATTTCGAAATCTTATTTACTAGACAGGGCTTTCTACGCCGTAAATAACTTATATTTTGATAATCGAATTTGATCTTGTAAACACTGGTCTTTCTCAGCCTGGTTCCATCCAGTGTTGGATATAGGCCTCTTCTAGGTTTTTCCATGCTTCGCGATCTCTAGCCAATCTTATCCATCGTCTTCCCGCCACTACCCTGACGTCATCCACCCATCTCTTTTTTGGTCGGCCCACACTCCTTGTTGTTCCCCTAGGTCTCCATAGGATTGCTTTTTGGGACCATCGGTCTGTATCCTGTCTTGCCACATGTCCTATCCATTGCCACTTCAGACTTGCCACTCTTTTAACGACATCTATTAATTTTGTTTTTTGACGTATGTGGGTATTCCGTATTTTTTCCCTAATGGTGACTCCCAACATAATTCTTTCCATGGCTCTTTGTGCTACTCGTAGTTGTTCTGCTGTTTTTCGGGTAATTGCCATAGTCTATAAGCCATACGTAAGCACAGGTAGAATGCAGCTGTCGTAAGCCTTTTTTTTAGGTTCATGGGCACCTTTTTATCCTTGAAAATATCGCTCATATTTCCAAATGCTACCCATGCCAAATGGATCCTGCGTTTGATCTCCGTATGTTGGTTTTCCTTTCCCAGCTTGATTTTATGACCTAAATATATATAATGGTCTACGTTTTCAATAATAACGTTGTCTACGGTAATGTTATCGATATTGTTGCTCATTCTACAAACACTGGTCTAATGTTTGCTATTACTATATTTACCAATGACATCGAAATAAATCTATTTGAAGTTCATTAATATTTACTATAAACTTACTAAATATTTTTGAATCGTATTTTTATTTTTTTTATTCTTTGACATTGTAAACATTTATAAATGTTTATTTTTAACAATAAGACTGACAATGTAATTTGTATAATATTTTGTATTCTCTTTTGTTTGTTTGTTTGTTTACTTTGTTTGTTTATTTTTCCTTTGTCTACAGATTGTATGTTTTTTGACAATAAAGGCATTTATTTATTTATGCTTTCAAGTCAGTTAATTTTCTGTGACTTGACCAATTCATTTGACTCCTGAAAACGAATCATATCACAGTATTGTTATCTGTGATATTAGATCTAAGTAGTTGTATTCAATATTAAATCAATATTAAAAAAGAAAAATTATTGAATGTATATTATTTCATTTCCAGAAACATTACCAGATGCTCTCGCCAGTGGATGCACGAAATGCAATGAAAAACAAAGAACCAACACCGAAAAAGTCATCAGGCATTTGATGAATCGAAGGGCCAAAGATTGGGAAAGACTGAGCAAAAAATACGACCCCGAAGGTGTATACAAAGCGAAATACGACCCTTTTGCCAAGACTGCTTAAATATAAATGAAAATCCCTTATGATCGAAAAAAAAGGGTGCCCAGTTGGCTTGAAAATGACGATATATAATATGACGACCCTATATAATTTTATATACAAAATATTAGCGATCTTAATTTCCAAGCCCTCTGTGGCGCCGCTTTTTTTCGATCATATGATATAGTGTATTCGTAAATTAGATCTGGCAGGTATTAGATTTCAGTTTCCGAATATATACTTTTATAAAATTTTGTTAAATAAAAAAAAATTAAGATACATGTATATTGCAAGGTGTGATATCAATTATAATGATTTTAATAAACTATTTCTTTTTATTCCCGTTGTTTTATTAAAAACTGATTATTAGCTGTGCAAGGAGAAGATCCATGACAGTGACAGATGTGTCTGTCATTTTAATTCACAAGTAAATTGAATTTTCTGTCATTTTTGGATGTCTATTGTCAAAATAATTTCTCCTTCTCGTATGACAGAGTTTACACAGGGTGGGTTTCAAATAAGTGCACATATTTTCAGGACTGGTAGACAGGGTTCGGAAAACTACATGTTACTTATAAAAACTACATAAACTACATTACATGTAGTTAATGTAGTGTATGTAGAGGGTGTAGTTTATGTAACAATATGTATGTAACTTTCAAATATCAAAGGTTTGAGGTGAGGTTATAATAAGTTGAGAAGCTTTAGAAAACGCATAATGTATTTAAGAAAACAGAAGAAATATGGCTTTAAATCAGGGTTGGCATGATTTAAATCAAATGTTTAAATCATGATTTAAATCGTGATTTAAATCAAGTGATTTTTTAAATTTTAATCAGGTGATTTAAATCAAAAAAATAATTTTATTGAAACTTTATAATAAATCAAAAAATAACCGTAAAAATTATAAAAATCTGTCCTAGAAAACTATAAAAAATATTTCTATAACAGATATAACAGATGAGTCCATAAGACCGCTAAAATTTATGTATACCTAAGTGACAAAAATTCGCTGTTCGAATACATATCATTCGCACACTAGTGCCAGAACTAGGTTCTTCTTATATAGAGACTATATCTTCATTCCCGAAAATCTATAATCGTTGTCAGAAAATATGTTATTTTATATATATATATTTTGAAACGTTGGTATGTTTCCAAATTCTTACCGACCTTTTTATTTGCAGTAAGTACACTTTGACGTTAGATAATACTAATTATATAGGTCTCGTCTCCATAAATAAGTACAATGTAGTTCCCTTTTCTCCGTGCGGCGACCACACATTTTAAAGCCTAAACAAACAAATTTCAACATGCCCCTCGCTTCCCTGCTCCCTTACCTCATTACATGCCCTTGCATCATTTCTTATTCAGTCTTTTTTTGTGTGCGGTACGACCTACATCGAATATCGCGTAAAAGATATCGATCGGCTCTCGCCCAGTAGAGCGGAGTGTTTTAGATTATCTTAAACGGATGGATAAGCGATTAAAGTTATTAGAAAATAAAAACATGCGTAAAAGAAAAAGATTAGTGACAAGTTTGGAAGAGGAAAGTGTAAATAAGTTTTGAGAGGCAGGCGAATAGTAGTACTATTCGCAAGATTCTGAGGGACGAGATTAGAAGCAGTGTTTGAGATGTTAGGAAATAAAGGTAAATAAACATATAACATATACATATACAATACCTGAATAGTAGGGGAAATTTCTTCTAAGCTTGGGTATATATAGGTATTGTGGGTGAATACCTTAGTGTGAATGCTTATATTATCTAGATTTTTCCACTTATGCTTATATTACACTAATATGGCAGAGTCAACGTTGGTGGTTACTCTAGCTTGGTTTATAGGACATTAAAATTTATTCACGTTAATTGTAGCGGGAGTACAGTGGTGGTTACTCTAGCTTGATGTGTAGGTATTGTTGGTGAATACCCCAGTGAATGCTTATATTACCTAGTTTTTTCCCACTTATTACATTAATACAGCAGAGTACGTTGGTGGTTACTCTAAGCTTGGCATATATGAATTATTGATGAATACTTATCGCATGGCTGTCTTATTATACTAATATGGCAGATTACGTTGGTGGTTACTCTAGCTTGGTTTATATGGGACATTAAATTTATTCACGTTAATTTGTAGTGGAGTACAGTGGTGGTTACTCTAGCTTGGTGGGTAGGTATTGTTGGTGAATACCTCAGTGAATGCTTATATTATCTAGTTTTTCCCACTTTTACAGTAATACAGCAGAGTACACGTTGGTGGTTACTCTAGCTTGGTTTATAGGACATTAAATTTATTCACGTTAATTGTAGCGGAGTACAGTGGTGTTTGCTCTAGCTCTGGTGGGTATGTATTGTTGGTGAATACCTCAGTGAATGCTTATATTATCTAGTTTTTCCCACTTTTTACAGTAATACAGCAGAGTATGTTGTGGTTACTCATTTTAGCTTGGTATATATGTATTATTGGTGAATATTTATCGCATGGCTGTTCTTACTACAATAATATGGCAGAGTACGTTGGTGGTTACTCTAGCTTGGTTTATAGGACATTAAATTTATTCAAGTTAATTGTAGCGGAGTACAGTGGTGGTTACTCTAGCTTGGTGTGTAGGTATTGTTGGCGAATACCTCAGTGAATGCTTATATTACCTAGTTTTTCCCACTTATTACATTAATACAGCAGAGTACGTTGGTGGTTACTCTAGCTTGGTATATATGTATTATTGGTGAATACTTATCGCATGGCTGTCTTGCTTTTATTTTCAAAGTTGGTAGTCCCATAAGGGCACGTTGGTGGTTGTCCTTATGGAGTGACGTTTTGCTAAGCTAGCTGTATAAGATTTATAAACTCCTTAAGCATGAGTTAGCCCCCAATATGTGTTTACATATCATAATATTTTCTTATAGGTGAAAGCGCTAGTACACTTATTAAAAAGGTATTGGAAAGAGCCTACCTAAACCTTTGTAGGAAGGTTTATTAGCGGTTTTGGGAGATAAGACAGACGTGGGAAAATACCACGACACCACCGATTCAACCTGAAATTGCAGAAAGATGGATACACATTGCAAAACCGGCCTTGAAGAACCTGTTCTAACCTATTAATGGAGAAGTACCCCTCTCCAGAGAACGCCACCACCATAGTTAAATTTAATGCGGAAACAGGCCATACATGATAATGTGGAGTGCAGAGATGAAATTGGCTAAAATTCAATCAAGATTAGCAGCCAGTTTGTCGGCTATAGGCCAAGTAATGGCAAAAATTTTAGAGGGAAAAAGGAGGGGGAAAGTGAATATAAAGCATTATATAGAGACCCTAAACGACACAGAACGTCTTATAACTGGTGTTATCCATTCCTTGAGTCAATATCGAGGAGGGAACTAGTGTCGTTCGATTTAAATAAAAATTGGAAAACCACTCTAACGGAATCCCCTTTGGATACCTGGTTGTTTGGTGAGGATTTGGAAGGAAGATTAAAGGCGGCCAAAGAGTTGTCCGCCTTTAACTGTCATCCAGTCAGTTAAAGACTGTCAGAAGTACTCCAGGAAGAATCGTATCAAATGCAGCCAGATCTCGGTCCACGCCGCATTTAAACTTCAAAAGTCTGCCTCAACATCAGCAGGGAGGGAAACGGGACAGACTCAATGTTCGAGAAACTTCCTACAACCGCCCACGTCAAAGGCGGACCTGGAACCGAATACAACACTTCGGCGTAAGGTCGCGTTCTCAGGGAAGATGTATAGGGATAATAGATGTATTATGGCATGGTTGCAAGGTTTTAAAATTCCGTTTGTGACGAGACCATCACATAACATAATCTCAGGTAGACATAAATGGTCGGTGCAACAACATAAGACAATTGAGGGCAACGTTCGGAGATTGCTTAGTATAGGGGCTATTTCTAAGGCACAGCCATGTAAAAATCAGTTTATTACAGAGATATTCACGTTTCAGTTGTTTATTTAGATGATTTTTAATTACTAGGAGATTCTTATGATGCATGTTTAGCAAATGTATTAGAAACAATTGGACTACTCGAATATGGGGTTTATTGTAAACTATAAAAAGAGTATTATCTCCACAAAAAATTGTGACGTTTTTGGGGTTTAAATTAAACTCTATGGATATGACTATTTCTGTTCAAGAGGAAAAAATCACAAAAATAATTTTGCATTTAAAAAAGTTTTTAAGATGGAAGAAATGCACTACAAGGGAGTTTGTAAGGCTAACAGGGAAGTTGATATCCATATGTCCAGCCATAAGTACGGTTATTTATATACCAAATTGTTTCGAGAGAGAAAAAAATTTAGCGTTAAAGAGTAATAAAGGAAATTATAACGGAACTATGAAAATTTCTAAGAAGTTATGTGTTGATACCGATTGGTGGATTCGAAACATACCTATTAGCAAAAACTTATTATCATATAGTAAATACTCTATGGAAATATTCTCTGACGCATCAGATATTGGATGGGGTGTTTGTTGCAATAACATAAGTTCTCAAGGTCTCTGGCCTACCTACGAATGAGAAGAACACATAAATTTTAGGGAGTTACAAGCTGTTTATTTTGGCTTGAAAGGCTTTGCTAATGACTTATCTAACGTTTCTAGCTTGTGCAAGGTAGACAGTGTTGTCTACCCTATATGCCAGTGCAGTAGTGTTACTGCACTGGCATATACCTATATTACATAGAACATAATGTGTTCAATTTCCAAGTTAAACAATATCCCTCGAATAATTTGGCAATGGTGTGAGGAAAGGAGATTATTTATCGTAGCCTCTTATATTAGATCTCAAGAGAATAAGGAAGCTGACAGGGCTTCCAGGGAATTTAAGGTCGAGACAGAATGGAGTTTAGCGAGCTGGGCATTTGGGAAATTGGTCACTATAAGTGGGGTTTACCGGAAATAGATTTGTTTGCTACGCATATAAATGCTAAATGCAAGAAATACATATCGTGGCACAGGGACCCAGATATGTACGCCATTGATGCCTTTACAACAAACTGGGAAACATTTTATTTTTTGCTTTCCCTCCATTTTCAATGGTCCCAAAGGCTCTGCAAAAAGAAAAAAAATTATTTCTGATCAGGCAGAAGGTATAATGGTTGTACCCAACTGGGTTTCGCAACCTTGGTATTCGGTTTTAAGGGCGATGTTAATAGATGAGCCGATTATTTTTTTAAATTAATAAATATTTACTTCTTTTAGCGGATCTCCCCACCCGTTAGCCAACATCTTTCTCTGACGGGAGGTCCGGCTATCAGGCAAGCCTTGCTCTTAGGGAATGTTCCAGAAGAAGCGCTGGAAATTTGCATGTCTTCAATAACAAGTA